CCTAAGCCATCCCTCGCCTCTACAGCCTCTACAGAACAGTTTTTGTCTACACTATGTGTACGATACTGATGATAGTTCAATAACTTTTGTATTGAACATTCAATATTGGCCATATTGAATGCGTACTACAATACGGGAAATAAAAGTATGCGCGGCACCTTTGATCCGCCCACGCAAGTCACAAAAAGCATACATATTAGAGAGTCGGTAGACTCTCTATATGGGGATGGCACGAGTGAAACTTCACGTCATCTGCGTACAAAACGACTAAAAACTCGGCGACTCGAGGTAATGAGACAAAAAGGTGACTACGCATCTATTGTGCCGAGTTAAAACCAACAGTTGCACGCACATCTGATGATTTTAAAACTCTAAAAACTCGTGGTAAAGCAACAGATGCAGCAAATTATCTCACCCAGGCTTTACATTATGTATAATATACAGGTTAAATGCAGATGTTGACACACGAAACACCCTTATGTTAATCAACCTGGCTCCACAGAGTGCAGTTTGTGATTAAAGCTATTGATTCTCTAGCTGGTCAAACAAGTCATATATCCCTTGCTAGTCTGTCTGACAAAAGATCTGACACAGGTGGTCTTCATGGTACACTCAAAGTATATAGTTGTTGGTACTCGTGTCATGCTAACAGCCAATGTTGATGTATCAAGAGGTTAATCCACAACAATGTTTACTGTTTAAACAACAATACCACAAATTCCAGTAATTAGCTGTAGTAATGTGCCAGAACTGCAAACACTGCAAAACTGCCAACACAGTAAATTTATGTCAATACTGCAAAATCACATTATGTTTCACAAATTCATGCCACGAACTCATAACACCACCTCAAGTCAATAAATTTCTCAGCTTTGCTTATAATTCTTTATTACTGCCTGCATTTTGCACTTCTTTGGTTTCACCCCTTTTTAAGTTGCGACCCCATATCAAAATATTGCTTGCGCTTGCTTGTATTGTATCATAGTTCGTGACTGCTTCCGTTGTAGCTGTCGTATCCCATTCTTATATTATTATTATTATTATGAGACTTTAACAGCACACAAAGAGAGACGACGTGAAAGGTAAGTAAGCTGATAGCAATAGGATGGTAGTGCTGAGGGTCTGCTGGAGGTATACACCAGCAGCCTATGACACATAACTGAACAAAAACAAACATACTTAGAGATTAGTTCATAGGAGAGAGGTGTCAAAGTTGGGGGAGATCGGGATAGAGCTACACTTAGCACATGGACACAGGTAGTGGAACGAGCATGGATTGTCTGGATTGAAGTTGTAATGAACGATTCAAAAGAGTTCGTAGAGTTTGGACCTGATAGTAGATACGGAGTGATCTAAATTAAGAAGGGGAGTGAGTTCCAGAGGCGGGGAAGACGGTTAAAGTAAAGTGACGAATGGAGTTATTAGAATAGGAGTAGTTTGTCTCAACTTGAAGTGCAAGGCTGAACGAGTTTGGCCAGAGCAGAATGTGACGAAACTAAGAATGTTAAAATGGGCTGATGGCTCTTTCAGCCCTTTACGAAGAACAGAATATCACCAATTTCAGGACCATCATGAGTGCAGGAGATGAAGGTCCGAGCAAACGGAGACGATAGTTAGAAACATAGTTGTTAAGAATGATTTAGTGGCTCGTCTTTGGACATTCTCAAGAGCTTTAGTATCTCTCAGAAGGTGAGGAACGCCAGATGGAGATGGCAGTAAAGCAGCTAAGAACGAACCAAAGTTATGTAGAGAACCCTTTGTAGCCGCGGGGCAGTGAACATATCCAGTCCCAGTATCTGTATTCTAGTGTAGTAGCTGTGTTGTATGTCACAAAACTACCAACACCACAAAACAGTGCCAACACTGCAACTGTCGCGCAATCCTGATAAATATCACCAGATCACCAGATTGTAAACAGTCAAAGCAATCTACGCAATGGACGTCACATCTCTGAAGAAAGCTAGCATGCTACCTGTATTGCTATTGTATTTCACTCCATCACTTCAGCAACTACAAGCCCCTTCCCACCATTCGTTATAAAGGACTTGTTCAAAAAAAGATTCCAGCCTATTGAACCATGTACAAATGTGAGTGTGGTATACATAGTCACTATAGAGTAGGATACATAGCTGCTATACTAGAATTGCCTTTTTGTAATATAGATGCTATATTATATACAAGGAAAATAAACACGCCGACACAAAACAACACTACCAATATCCTACATATACGACAACAACAAAAAACAAAAGCCAAAAAAAATAAAAATATCTAAATGAAAAGCACTGAAGTGCAAACCCTCGGAGAACTGCGAATGCGCGGTATATTAGTACTCGCGGTCTCCCGCTAGTATAATATAGCTCGCAGAGAGTCTGACACGGGCTAGCTACAGTAGTAGATAGCATGCGAGAGTCGATACACGCCCTTCGTTGTGACTTCTTGTGCCTTCAAAATACACAGAGCAAGCAGACCCGGTCCTGTTCTAAATATTATAAGCGCATGCGCATTTTCCGCAGCGATAAAAATGGCCGACTACGCATTAGCTGTACAATGGTGGAAGCGCTCTAGCTTTGCAACGGAGCGTTTTCAGAGAAAACCGTTCGAAATTTCTGACCTTCATTGCCCGTTCAGTAGGTGGTATCCTTTGTGAGACGAACAGAACACTCGAGAAGTGAGATGAAGAGTAACAGACAGACTGACACACAGACAGACAGACCTAATGAAAAAGCACTGAAGTGCAAACCCTCGGCGAACTGCGCACGGGCGATACAACTAATTGATGGGCTAGGCTTTTAGTATGCGTTTACTCGTGGTATCCACGCTAGTAGCTCGCGGAGAGTCTGACACGGACTAGCTACAGTAGTAAATAGCATGCGGGAGTCGATACACGCCCTTCGTTGTGACTTCTTATGCCTTCAAGATACACAGAGCAAGCGGCCCGGTCGCGGTCGAGGTAAGCTCGTGCTAATTAGCATTATAACCGCATGCGCATTTTCCGCAGCGATAAAAATGGCCGACTAGCATTAGCCGTACAATGGCGGAAGCGCTCTAGCTTTGCAACGAAGCATTTTCAGAGAAAACCGTTCGAAATTTCTGACCTTCATTGCCCGTTGAGTAGGTCGTATCGTTTGTGAGACGAACAGACATTCGAGAAGTGAGATTGAGAGTAACAGACACAGACAAACCCAACTACAGTACCCTCGCTGCGCATGCGCGCCGAAGGGTAATGATCCCATCAGTCCAAGCTGAGTGAGACGGAAGGCATTTCCTCTCCACAAACAGATGGACAAGCGCTGGAATAAATGTGAAACTGCTTCCGTGGGGGAGGTACCAAGCCTCTGACTCACTAGTCTGCCAATTCTGGAGATTTGTAGGGCTTCGTCATGGCTCCAACCTCCCAACGATTCCACAGCAAGGGGAACAAATGACACTCCTGCGCCTCTATATTCGGCATTGTGAGCTACCATCTTTCTTTCCTCTGCCACTTTCAGAGCATACCCCTTCTCGGAAGCAGCTCCTGATAGTGTGAGCGGTTGCATAGTGGATATAACAGTAACGTCCAAGGCAGCAGGGCGCCCCCTGCACCAGTTGGGGAGACATGCAGAACAGGAGCTGACATCGTCTGCCATTCTGACGCCCAACCAATATTTGAGACACAGCCGCGGCAGACTGAAGGTTCAGCACCCCCCCAGTGAGCAGGGAAGGTTGGCCTTCAACCAGGCCCAGACTGGCAGAGGGCCTCCCGTGATATCCTCTATGGCTTCCCGCACTGCAGCATCAAATACAGATGTAGCCGTCTGGATGACCGAAGGAGGACAAGTTCGGAGGGCGAAATTGAGTTTTGGGAGAGAAAGACAGGATCTCAGAAGAGTGGTCTGCAATTGGGAGTCCCCCAATCTTCCAAGAGCATTCTGGATCTTCCCAACTCTGTCAAGTACTGAGGTTTCACGGAACCAACGTGAACCAAGGGGGACGCCAAGGAGACAGAAGCCGGAGCGGGTGACAGGGATGTCGTGAGGGAGGGGGTTATTGCCTAGATCATCCCCACAGGAATGTATAGGAGAGACTTCTGATGAAGACCCCTGGGGGTCCTTCTTCCTCGATGATCTTTAGAGCTGCATCAAGGTCCTGTGGGGTGCCACACAGAGTGCCATCATCCAGGTACCAGACGTTGCAAAGAAGACTGGGTACCTCCCTCTTGAATCTCTCGACGATCGGTTGAAGAGTGAGAGCGAAACACAGAGGGCCTTGCTGAACCCCACAGCAACTAAGTAGAGAGTGGTCGCCAAAAAATAAGTGCGATTCTGTGCTGTAGCAGAATTCCACCCAGCTTGACAGGCCCGGTAACCGTGCACAAGTTTCACGGAACATGTGCTGTCTGCTGACGCAATTGGAAGGCGTTGGAGAAATCTATCAGGAGGATCCAACGAGATAGTAAGGGGAGGTCCCCCCTTTCTATGATGTGGGCCACAGAGTGGACAACAGCTTCACACCCTGCCTAGACCCCAACCCCCACTTGCAATGGTGTTAACACGTCAACAGAATCGGACTGAACTGCTCGAGAAAGGCACTTTGATGTTAACCGGCGTAGCACCTCACCAACCGCGATGGGTCTGTGACCACCATTTTTCTTTTTAACATTTTTCTTTTTAATGTAGATTAGTTTGTAAGTACAATTATTGTAGCCATGTAGCTAGTAGGCAATCAGGACTCCAAGCAGGTGGAGTGGCCTCGCGCTTTCTGGAGTGTCTCACGTGTCGGGAGATTAAAGAGGCTGAAATGCGTGTGACATGGTGAAAGATTGGGAACTCCCTTGATGACCAGTAACAAAGAGCCTAGCACTGCACCTGCTTGTTGCTGGACTTGTGGATAAGTTTACATGTACGTTTAAGCACAGGCTGGCTGCATGCGGTGACACCGACAAAAGCTGCCCACCCTCTCTCGTTAGCTTTGGTCCTGCCTACACTTTACCTCTCTCTCTTCTTTCCCCAATCTCAAACATACACACAAACGTTTCTGACCTGCTCGTGACTACGAGAGTAGTCATAGAACCCTTCCTCCGGTTCCAGATGACATTCACCATCATTTCTGGTCACCAGTGCAGCAATCTAGGGATACATGTAGGTTAATCTGTAACCAGCAACCAGTTGGATTTTGCCATCTTGCTAGTTTGTTTTACAAGTACATAGCTACCAACCGTTCCTTATGCTCAAATATTCTCTCAATTTATTGGCGAGCGGGAGCGAGCGAACCTAGTCGTCGCAACGGGCCGATTTCTCTATTTATTAACCCTCCGCGCGCATGCGCAGCGAGGGTTACAGTAGTCTGTCTGTCTGTCTGTCTGTGTGTCCGCGCGAGTTCTAGCACTACAGGCTACGAGGCGGCCAATGAGTGGCACCAACGGGTTGTGAACGAGGCGATTTTCCCGAAACGACTGCGTTCCAGAGATATGGCGTGAAATCAAGCGAAAAAGCCAACGCGCGGTTGCGATCGCGCACGCGCCCTCACCTGCAGGCTAGCTACTATATAGCGCGCATGCGTAATGTCAATTAATCGACGGAGCATGCGCTACGCCACGTTGGTTGTAAACGATCCGCGGCCTCCTGTCAGTTTTGATCTCTGTTCCCTATGGAACATGCTGAGCAAGGTATGTTCGCAATGTAGCATAATAGTTCAGGTGGCGAGCAGTTTGTGGTTGCGGCCTTGCCTTCCCATCTATAAAACGTCTGGTGAGAGCATTGAAACACAAAAGAGCGGATAGATTGAATATGAGAGCTTCTGAAACACCTGAGCTATTTAAAGTTCAGAAGTCATTATAGCCCCAGAGGATATTTACATACAAAAATACACATGGCATGACAAACAGCAGCATTATACATTTATGTGGGAAGGATGGAGGATCGACTGTATTCAGTTTTAAGAAGCCTGGTGAGGCAGATATGATGGATGCCATTATCTCCTCTATTGAACACAGCTTCAATTGTTTGTGATGATATATCAGATGTTCGACATATGTAGTGCCTTTCGCTATAGACATTTCGCAGCGAGGGCATGTTCTATCCTCAAACAGTGGTTGGGAGAGAGTTCGGAAGAGAGAGAGAGAGAGAGCCGATTTTGACCCCATTACCCTATAATCTAAGGCTGTATCCCAGATCTTGCGCCATGATAGCTCCGAGTGAATGGAAGATAGATGTTTTAGAGACTGGTGAGTTTTGCGAAATTTGCTCTAAGTTCCTTGTCAGTAGTCCGAATCTTCCTTTGCTGCCCCAGGAACCTTCTGATGTCAATACTTCTCCAGTGAAGTTGGTCTCATAAACGGTTTCAAGATAACGAAATTTTTCGGTGATTGTCAGCTGTGAGACATCCTTGGCGTGAAGTATTACGTCGTGTAAGTGCGCATGCGCGACTTCATTACATACGCACGTGTCTGAAAACTGTGGCAACCATGGATCGTCAGTCTACAGAGGATGCCCTTTTGTCGAAGAGAGAGGGAAAGAGAACGTCGTACCCCGTGAGACTCCTGAGCAGAGAGAGGCTCGGCTTTCTCAACGCCGACTGCGTGATAGGGAACGGGCAGGGACGCCTCGCCGCAAACAGCGACGGGCAAGGAACGCCTCGCCGCCGAAACAGCGGAAGAAAGGGAAGCACGACTAGCGAGACGTCGTGTACAAGATAGAGCTAGACGCGCTGCAGAATCAGGGGAAACGGAACAGGTCAGGCTCACACAGCTCCGAAACTACCAGGCAAGACGAATTGCTGCCGAGTCCAGCGGGGAGAGAGAGGCCCGCTGCAACAGGTACGCAGGAATCAAGAGCAGACAATTGCTGCCGAGTTCAGCGGGGAGAGAGAGGTCCGCCTACAACAGGTACGCAGGAATCAAGAGCAGAGAATTGCTGCTGAGTCCAGCAAGGAGAGAGAGGCCCGCCTACAGCTGGTACGACTTAACCAACAACAACGGATTGCCTCAGAGACTCCACAAGAGACTGAAGCAAGACGTCAGCGTGACCGACAAAGTCACATGCAGCAGGCAAGTACTGCCACTTCAACCCCAACCTCAACTTCACCAGCCAATTGTCCAATCAAACTTTGAGAGTACTTTCAACACCTGTTTACACATTTCTTGGTTGGATCGCTCCCGCTCGCCAACAATGGTTAGCTACCATTAAACTAGTAATTTCACAAACTTGGCAGTTTCAGAGCATACGTTCACCTGGGAAGTTTGCGGGCAGGACAATTTGTATGGCTGGGTTGGCAAGTACGCCACAACACCACGACAATTTAATGATTTGCCCGTGCGAACTGTCAGTTTTTTCACGTCATCGCTAAGCTATTGCTCTGCGAGTGTCTAAATGACAATTGAGGAGTGCATTGTATGCTAACACACCACCGTGACTTAAATTGCTGCCCGGGCAAACTGTCAGTTTTTTCATGTCATCTCTAAGCTTGTCTTCCAGACAATTGAGGAGTGACTGCAACACATTCTACAGGGACATGCTCGCTTTATTCACTCAAAGTCACATTTCCACCTGCTATTAGTAACAGTGTACCCTTCCATCCAAAGCAGTCTTGAATCCAGCGTCAGTCAGGACCATGACTATCCTCAGACTCCCATTCCTCCATCCAACCTCCTGAGGAATACATGATTGATATGGTTAATCAGAAAGTTTTTCATTAAAGTGCAAACCCTCGGCGCACTAGAAATATTGTACACATACGTGGTACGGCTAATTGATCAGCTCATTCACGAACAGTGATAGTTTTATGGCGGAATAGTGAAACGATACTGGATGATTTTAGGCAAAACAACATTTTGTAAGGTTGAAAAATATATATCTTAATTTTATTCATGATTTCAACTCATTATTTTAGGCAAAACAATTATTTTCTAAGGTTGAAAAAATATTGGGCCAGTCCTCCTTCTCTCCAGACAGACATCTATGGATGCAGTGCAATGCCAAACAGTACGCTGCCCTTTGAGAAACATGGGTCAATGGTAGATTCATGGGTAAGGGGAGGAACCAAGAGCCACCTACAAGTCAGTTTCAATGCGGGTCCGGGATTCGAACCGGGCACCTTATTATTATTAACCCTCGGCGCGCATGCGCAGCGAGGGTTATGGTAGTTGTCCCATAAGTGTGTTTGTCTGTCTGTCAGTCTGTCTGTTACCACGTTTTCTGCCACCGCGCGCACGAAATCAGGTAAATAGCGATATGATCGGGTTCAGTGCTACACTGGGTTGATTTAAAAAAGGCAATTTTCGTAAAACTACTGTGTTTTAAAATGTTGATATGTTATATTGAAATGGTTTGAACCTGTGCGACACAATGAACTATAGCAGTGTGTGAACGAGCAGGTAGATGCCAAATCTTGCGTAGAATCTTGTTTAAGGCCACTTCAAGAATACTAATTGATGGAGCATTGAGTGACCAAAGACAGCTGCCATAAGGGATAAACAATAGCATTAAAGCAGAAATGTTTTGACTTAAGGGTCAACAAAGTGAAAGGAACGTAGTTATGTGACAGTCCCCACGTCTCTAACAAATTCGCCACTTGGGCTGGCCACGAGAGGTGATGAAAAAAGTTCTCTTATATCGTTGGCGAGCGAGCTAACCTAGTGGTCCGAACGGCGCGAGTTTTCTTATATATGTCCGGCAGGCAGGCACCGTACGTCGTCCAATTGCGCATGCTCCAGCATTACGCGCTTCTTTTATCCGAAAGGGATTTCATATGCTGCCTCAATCGAGCGGAATCAGGGGAAACGCAACACGACAGGCTCGAACACCTCCGAAGCTATCGAGAATTGCTGCACAGTCCAGCGAGAGATTTTTCTACATTGCCACTTATTCCCTATTCCTGCAAGACCAATCAGATTGCCGGATTATGCCTGATTCGCGCAGTCGTCTGACTGTTTTTGACTCTCGAATTGTCTACTGTGCTCGGGTCTAAAAGGTTGTTTCGGCCTACTTGGTCCTGTGCAATGTATCTCACTGTTTTGTGCACACACAAGAGTGACTCATTGGATTATACCCCATTTGTAAGCTCGCTTCCGCTCGCCAAAAATGCCATGCATTCGCCTACTATTAAAGAACGCACAGTACCACTAATTGATGGGCTGGGCTTTTAGTGTGGGTTTACTCATGGTCTCCATGCAAGGAGTCAGACACGGACTAGCTACAGTAGTAGATAGCATGCGGGAGTCGATACACGCCCTTTGTTGCTTCTTGTGCCTTCAAGATAGACAGAGCAAGCGGACATGGTCGAGGTAAGCTGTGCTAATATAATGCGCATGCGCATTTCCCGCAGCGATGAAAATGAGCACTGAAGTGCAAACCCTCGGCGCATTGTGACGCGCACGCGTAAGTAAATCCATGCGCAGTACTACTAATTGATGGGCTGGGTTTAGTTAGTTGTTACTCATGGTCTCTTGCCAGCTCGCGCAGCCAGAGTCTGACGCGGGCTAACTACACTACTTGATAGCATGCGAAAGGCAATACACGCCCTGCGTTGGTGCCTCTGAGGAACGCAGAGCACGCGGATCGATCAGACCTTGGCAACCCATCCCGTCCGTTGTGTATTTGGATATTGGCTTTTTCCCGCTTTAGTTTTGCAACGGAGCATTTTCAGAGAAAAAATTCTTACCTTCGTTGCCCTTTTTAAGTAAATCGTATCCTTTGTGAGACGAACGAACACTCGGGAAGTGAGATGTGACTGACAGACAGGCAGACACACAGTAGTACAGAACGACTACTAACCCTCGCTGCGCATGCGCGCCGAGGGTTGAAAAAGAAAAAACCCAACACTTTAGCAGTGTATATACACATGTAGTACAGGTGTCAAGGTAATGATTGAGAATCAGCCATTTATGCGAGATGTAGAGTAACAGACAGACAGACAGACACACAGAGAGACACACAGACCCAACTACCGTACCCTCGCTGCGCATGCGCACCGAAGATACAAACCCTCGGCGAACTGCGCAATCGCGATACTGCTATAATTGCTGGGCTGGGCTATTAGTAGTATGCGTTTACTCGTGATCTCCCGCGAGGAGAGTCTGACACGGGCTAGTTACAGTAGTAGATAGCATGCTGGAGTCGATACATGCCGTTCGTTGTGACTTCCTGAGCCTCCAAGGTACACAGAGCGAGCGGATCAGGTCGCGGTAAGCCCTAGTGCGATTATGCATATTGACTTTTTCGCTTGTTTTCACAGCATATCTCTCGAACGCAGTCGTTTGAGGAAAATCGCCTAATAATCAGGTTCGCGTAGTTCTGAAGCCGTTGGTATCGCTCATTAACCACCTCGTGGCCTGTAGTGCCAGAATAAGCGTCGACACACACACAGACAGACAGACAAACCAACTACCGTAACCCTCGCTGCGCATGCGCGCCGAGGGTTAATAATGGGCATTGGCCGTATATACAATGCTGGAAGCGCTCTAGCTTTGCAGCGGAGCTTTTTCAGAGAAAACAGTTCGAATTTTCTGACCTTCATTGCCCGTTAAGTAGGTCGTATCCTTTGTGAGACGAAAGAACACCAGAGAAGTGAGATGTAGAGTTACAGACAGACACACGGACAGACAGACAGACAGACATACAGGCCGACAGGCAGACAGATCCAACTATAGTACCCTCGCTGCGCATGCGCGCCGAGGGTATAAAGGCCGGATGACTAGGATCGAACTGCTGACATCAGGATCAAGATGGCAAGTCCTTATCCATCAGATCACACCCAATACTTGAGAGGGGTAGGTTCAATGCTATTTTTATGGCACTCATTTATGGCCAACTAACATGCATAATTAATATCTACTCCAGATTAGTACCATACTATACACATGGGGTTTTATGTACACTGGCAACTGCGCAGGCAGATAAAGCTTAGTAATTAGTAGTACTGCCACCGTAGGATTTCTGTATTACCCATTCATTGTTTATGGCCCAATAGTATACCATCCCTGCACTACCTACTATTACTCACGTCCAGACAGACAACTGACTGCAGGAGAGCCTCCAGAGTGGCCTCAGGAGCATCCAGATTACCTCTTATTGTCACATCCTCCAGAACTTCCTAGCAAAACCGTGGCAAAGAATTATAGCAGATTACATTCAAGAAGCAAAATAAATGTTCACACTAATAATGTACATACGTGTTAGAACTAGCTATATAGAATGGTCTATGTGTGTTTATAATGGCGGAATTGCAAATAATTTTAATTCTGCAATGGAGCATGTTTTTACAATTGGTAATGGTATTGCTGTTCAGTTACTTTGTAGAATGGTTGACAGACAGACACAAAGTATTTTAACCCTCGCTGCGCTGAAGACTACTAGTCTAGAGAGGACTCACTCTGAGCTGACCACTGTCACTGGTCAGTGGGAGATGGTGTCTGTAGACATAGGTTGGCTCACATGAGGCTCTCCCATTAGCACACTCTGTCCTGTGGACAAAACATTAGTGACTAAATGAAGGTTTTTGTCATGAGCACAGTACAGAGCTGAACCCGATAAATTCAATTTCAAGTTATGCGAGAGCTACAATTGCACCGCCAACGTGTTAACTTCCGTTTATTGGCAATTCTCTGTTATATATACACTTACATTTAGGACTGAATAGTACGAGACATGCATGAAAAAATTATAATGCTTCACTCGAACAGGGGAAAGTATTTTGCAAGTTCAAGGGGAGGCAAACGACGGCCGACAAAAAGTCAAAAAATGGTGACATACACCATGTTTCCCAGGTGTCTGGTCAGGTAGTCAGAGCCATTCTGTAGTGTGGAGGCAAAGGGGTAGGCAATCTTGTCAACAAACGACCCAAATCCGAGAGTAAACTGTGATGAGAGACGCTGCAGTTCGTCAGCTGCACGAACACATCATCACTCAATGTGTCATTGTGTACAGCATTAGTGAAAATTACACCACTCACTGATGGAGTTAGAGAGGTCCTTGAGACTGTCCAGGTCAGAGGCTTGAGATCCAGAGAGGTCCATGAGGAAGTACATGTCCAGAGGATAGTTCCTGGCTGGCTTCACTGACAGAGTGAATGTCTGAGGCTCTCCTGTGCAATGATTCTACTTTCACCTCCATACATGCGTGTGCTAGCTCTGTGAAACTCCAAAAATAATAAATTGATCGTCTATTAACACCACGGACACATATAAATGTACTAGACGCTAATACTTCAAACATAAAATTATGCTTGTTGAAGAAGATACCCATGGCGTCGAAAATGTTAAATGGCTAGGCACTAGTGGTAAAGGTAGTATATATACAAGTGGAAAAATCATTTCTTCGAAATGAAAGGGGGATATAGGGATGGCTTGAAGCACCAAAAAGGAAGAAACAAGGGGTCATTACACAGCAAAGATGCACAAAGCTACATGACCCATCCCTATATCTTTGTCTCATATTAAACTTTACTTCAAGGTAAACTGTTGCAGAGTGGAAATGACGGAGACGGCAAGCGCGGCTCTTTCCCAATTAGGGAGGAAAATGTCAGCAGGGCGAGATTGGTTGTGAACAATAACACAAAGATATAGGGATGGTGTCATGTAGCTTTGTGCATCTTTGCTGTGTAATGACCCCTTGTTTCTTCCTTTTTGGTGCTTCAAGCCATCCCTATATCCCCCTTTCATTTTGAAGAAATGATTTTTCCACTTGTTTCCACTATTTTTCACGCCTTATGACAACACTGCATTTTCAGTCACTCTGATGTTCATGGGTGTTGTAGAGATAACTGTTGAAAGCAGAAGCTAATGGGCTGCTCCTACCTGAAGCAGGGTGTATGTGTAGTGTCTCCAACAAGGATGCAATTAGATTGTGGCACATATGGTGGGGTGGTTTCATAGGCAGGCTTCAGTAATCAGACTACAATGATAGCTATAACCTGGGGGACAAAGAATGAAGGCGCCTGGCAAGGCACGCGTAGCACGGCGCAGATTGCCAAGTTGCTCCTCGTGCAAATCAACAGCAAAACGCAAGCTAGCCACTTACAAATGTGCACACTGACTTACAGAAGGCACCGAAGGATGAGAGTAGTTTTCTCTGAAGGCATCCAGTCCTGGCTTAGTCACGTTCGTGGACCAGGTTTACGAGACAAAATGCGCGCGCGCCGCATTGGAAACGCCCTCCTCGGCGCATGCGGCTCACTGATGCTGAGTTAGCAACAAATGGCGTTGTTCAGTGACTACCGGGGAAGAGCTCAATTTCGCCTCATACTATTTTGAAAAATTCCATCCCTATTAATCCCTAATACCACACCAAACTGTACTATTACCTATACTAATACACTTGACCCCTCTTTTAATTAAGGGTATGTATAGCTAATGTATATACCTGTTCTGAGATTAAGACGAATAGCTTGTGGGGATATCTGAACTGTTTCTCCAAGTTGATCCTGCAGACACAAAAATACAAATTTGTGTATCGAATGAAGCAGCAAGGATGAAACTACTGAAGCTCTGGAGAGTACATGCCCACGCATAATCACAGCTCCAATATTGTGTGTGTCACTTCTAATAATAATAGCTTTTGACTTTGGAGAAGCAGGGAGAGGAGCTTTGATAAAATATGATGGTAGGTAGTTAATGCTCTAAGAGCTTTCCGGCTTCGTATAACTAGAAAAACGAGTCTGTGAGTTACAAATGGTGTATTTGAAGGCTAATTCACAGTGAGTGTGTAGGCTATTTTATGGCTATGAGATGTCTGTATGTACCCCATTAGGGTGTCTCAACACACTAGACCTCAAAACACACCATCACCAACACACACAAAAAACAAACTCACCTCTCTGAGTATCTGTGGAGGGGTGGCCACTGGGTCTTCAGGTTCTGAGAGACAGTCGGCTGTCTGGTACTGGTACATCTGGACCTGAGAATGGCTGTGGGGGAGAGGAGATGGGGATAGGACAAACACTAGCATCTAAACATAATAAAGCCATGGTATGGATAAGTCTCAGTACTCTACACTCACAGGAGGGTCAGGACACCAGACACAGCCAATTCCATTTGCTATACACTCATCACATGACTCATACTGATGGCAAATGTCTGCATAGCCATGACCTGAGGTAAAACACACTCAGCTTGTAGATGTTTCAGAGGGCGCGTAGCTAAAAATGTAGTTCTTGTGTGCAAAGCAAACTTAGTCTCTTTCAGCATAGTAACAACAACCTCGAACTAAAATCAGTGCTATAGGAACCACTGGCTTGCAGTTGTCTATACCGAAGAAGCCAATGGTCTTTTGGTGTCTCTAAGTAATAAAAATTCTGCGAATTCAAAATGTGGAATATAGGGATGCCATAAAAAGCAAGGAGACAAGACAGGGATGACCTAGTGCATGTGATGCAGTAGTACAATGGATGATGGTTACATCTTCAAACTGACATTTCTTGCTCGTGTAATTTCACTCCACACAAGCCCTATATTGTCGCCACTCTTACTCATGACATGAGTTTTTCATTGTGTAGTGTGAAGACTGGCAAACGAATTCTGCAAAGAAAGCAGCATCGTAAAACTTGTTAGTTGAGCGAACATTGAAGTAAATAGTCACAATTCAAAACTGAGGACCTGTCAGAGAGGGCATTTGCTATATACTGCATAGGAAACAAGTCATAGCTCCACATTATACTACAGAGATCACTCGTGCTTTGCGACAATATAGGGCTTGTGTGGAGTAAAATTTACATGAGCAAGAAAAGTCATTTTGAACATGTAACCATCATCCCATTGTACTACTGCATCACATGCACTAGGTAATCCCTCTCTTGTCTATGGCATCCCTATATTACACTCTTTTATAATTCACAGAATATTTAATTACTTGTCTCCTTTCCTTTTTTTACGGCATGCACATGCATTGGGGAATAATGCCCATATAAAAAGTAAAATGTATTTATTGCCTCGGACTGTTAGCTAGTCGTCATCTATATACATGTTTATTTCACCACTAAAGTATATAGTGTACAAAGTTTCATTGTTTGAGGACCCAGCATAAGCAAGTTATAGGCGCAAACATAGCTTTATTGGCTGAGGCTGTTTGATTTTGTTTACAAACTTGTAAATTCTGTTTCGATGAACACTCATCATGGTACATCAGTGAACCAAGTTTAATTGTTAGAGGACCCACCATAAGCAAGTTATAGGCACAAACATCATTTATAGGTATTCATTGCCTGAGGCTCTTTGTTGTTGTTTACAAACTTGTAATTTCTGTTTCGATGAACTCTTAAGGACCCACCATAAGCAAGTTAGAGGCAATAATAGTTTACAAGTTATTATTGTTTGTTGTTGTTTACAAACTTAAATTTCTGTTTCGATGAACTATCATCATAGTGCATGAATGTCCAAGTTTAATTGTTAGAGGACCCAACATAAGCAAGTATAGGCACAAACACATTTTATAAGTTTATAATGCCTGAGGCTGTTTGCTGTTGTTTACAAACTTGTCGTGTTTACCGTTTGATTTTAATGACATATGCAGGACGACCTGTGTCATCCTTATGTACCAAGTACTACTGTACTTAGTGATTAAGGGAAAGGTACCTATTGTGCACAATCAACTTACGGAGAAACAAGCTTTTCCCCTGACACCAAAAGTAGAGAGATAGTCATAGTAATTCACTAATCAACATGGGCAATAAGTGTAGCAGAAAAAAAGACAGCCACGTTGTAATTACAGAGTGAGACATTCCAGACCTATTTCCACCTTTATTTTCTCTTTTAGGAATTCGAGATAGCAGAAATCTCACTCGCAGTCATAATGTTTTAGGCAACTGCGAAACCATTAGCCGCGTGGCACCTAGCTATAACGATTCTTAACACTCACTTTCAGAAGTCCCTAACATAATCACCAAGAGTAGGAACATGGTTGCTCTCTCGACACGGCTCACACGGATGGCGAGCGGCAGTAGACGTGATAACAGACCGATTATCTATCCTGCGATGCTACACATACCTTAACGTTTTGTGCGTACAATTTCAAGATGTGTGACGGTATATACCCATTACATCTGGCGGGAGGCGCTTCAGAAACAGCCGAGGAGCGGGAAATACGCTCACCAAGGGCTGTATATCCGCAGTTGGGCCGCTCCCGCTCGCCAAAATTAGCTGGGCAAGAAAAAATTGTGCAAACGGAAGTGGCGGTAGAACAGCAAAGCATGCTCTCACTCGTATGCTGGGCATTTGTGGCGATCGGGAGCGAACAATATTATCTGCACGAGCCATCCTAGCCTATTTACAGCCTGCACCTTGGAACCGTGAAGATTGGAAAGATGTACAGCCTCGGTCAGGCACCGAAGAGCGCAGCGAATGCCGTCGAATAGAGAAAGAGTTCTCTCGCTGGCTAGGTCGCGCATAACCTTTCGGAGCGCGTACTTCCGGAGAATTGTGCGTGGGCGTATGTTTCAGATATTTTTTTAAATAGCACAGCTAAAACGCACGTGATTTATAGTGAATTTAGGTATATTTCTCGGATTTTTCCTACCTTGTTTTCCAAACTCATTAGCATATTCATATCCCTCCTCAATACATTCTCTATGGGAGAGAAAACTCGTGCGCGACTCACCCAAGAGCTAACGGTCCGTCTCCATTATGCGCAATGGCGTTCTTTCTGCCTCCTGCGGCACGCGCAGGCGTATTAGAGCCATCCCGAAAAATAGGCGTGGGCAAGTTTTGTGTTAACGTTGACCTTTGCCACCCGGTCACGCCCTTTTTTTATAGCGCAAAATTAGCTTCCCGCGTACCGAAGCAGGCAAAGAAAGCCACTGCGCATAATGGAGACGGACCGTTCGCTCCTGGGTGAGTCGCGCACGAGTTTTCTCTCCCATAGAGAATGTATGGAGGAGGAATAAGAATATGCTAATGAGTTTGGGAAACAAGGTATATAGGAAAAATCCGAGAAATATACCTAAATTCACTATAAATTACGAGCGTTTTAGCTGTGCTATTGAAAAATATATCTGAAACGTATGCCCACGCACAATTCTCCGGAATCTTAATTAATCCAAACGCATGTGCAATTGAACGATAGACAAAAATTGCGCCCGTTCGCTCCACGCTCCAAGTATTTTATATTGCTGTTTGTGAAAGGGATAGTTACTTTCAAACTTGCAAACCAATTATTGACAATTTTTTAGCAACGCAGTTGATATTCCCAATCCTAGCAGGGCCAATTGCATACCATGCAGTTTATAATCCTGTTGTCTGCAGACCCAGTGGAACTGATACACGCTGTGTTTGTGACAAATATTATCGCCAAGTAACTAATCAATGCCGTTGCCAGTATTGGTCTCTAGTGCACAGTCGTGCAGATGAACCGAGATTGCAAGCAATGATCATGGAGGTATGTATCTACCACAAGAATCCACTGGTACGCGTGTTGTAATGATACTGGTGGTAAGAGCTGAGATAAGTTTACCTACCAAGGAGGAGGTAGTAGAGGTGATTATTGTTCTAACTGTGTGCAAAATTCAGAGGCAGGTGGAGGCAGACCAACTTACCACTTCAATTGTGAAAGTTGTGCACAACAGGCCTTCTGTAAAAGCATGTATGATTCAGGAGCAGCATTTCTAACCAAGAACCTTCCAGGTTTATGTCCAGCATGGGCTGCATGCTGCAGAGAATGTTGTGTTGATGAGACACACTACACTGAGACAAATACACATTCATAGCCCAATCCCTACATTTTTATGCTGGATGCCCTACAGAGCAGGATGTTTATCCTCTAATTATTCTAGCTACTCTTTAGAAACTTGTCAAGAAAAATGTAGGGACGGGGTTAGCTATAAATGACTATAATGTCTCAAGGTAGCAAGGCATCATCTTGTTCCCCTTCTTTTTCATTACGATTAAACACGTTTTGTGCATGCATGAGGCTTAATTAAGTTAGGGCGTATTAGAAAACCTTTCTATGAGAAGTTATCATTAAAGTATGGAGCTATTAGTGACTTGTCTCAGTGTATTAGCTATAGGCATCTTGTTTTCCCCTTCACCCCTTTTTTCCAAGCATGAGTAGTCTAACATGTTACCATGACAGCAGGAATGCAAGAGTAAAACTTACCACAACCCTTGATAAACATCAGGTGACTTTTTAGAGACAATTTGTACAGAAATTACTCACCACACATCGGATTTTGTGAAGGTTATTAATGCACGAATTTTTCGTCACACTGAGTGTGGTTTAAGTTTGAAAACACAATAAATCAAGCTTTGTTCTTCTAGCTCATTGTTTAGCAGGTTTATTAGAGCGTCCGTAGACACTGCTTAGGGATGGCACGGGTCAAATCTGACGTGATCAGCGCAAGGGGTCCGACACCGCCGTTATGACGTTTATACGAGATTTCTAAAAGCCCGTAAGTTGTAACTGATTTCCAGATCTCTATATACGTGATTTCAACCAGATTTCCGGGATTCAAGAGATTTCCTGATTTCCGCATGATTTCCTCTGATTTCCACTGATTTCTAGATTCCTAGCTATGGATTTCTAGATTTACTTATATTTCTCGGTCTCTCGAGAGTTTACTGCTACGTAGTACACTCGCTCAAGAGGAGTTACCTTACTGGCACAAACAGTACTCATGCGCCACAGAACACTGAGGACTTCAACTAATACTGTTGCCAGCGCACATGAGAAATAAAGGTTATAGCCGGCTACAGAAACAGCCAGCAAGAAACAATGTCACTTCTGTGTAATTTACAACTGTTAGTGGTGTGGTGACTCCATGTTCTCAGTTATACGTACACTCTTCTCAAGCTGGTTTAAGTCCAGGTCGGTTGGAGTCCCAAGGGATTTCCTACAAGTTTCTTTTGCCTTTCTATTTCTCATGCCTCCTCCGGCTGCTATCGTGGCATTTCCGCTTGAGCAAACCTATGCCAAAGCCAAGGCCTTACCCTGATAGACTTTCACGTTCCTTTGTTTGTGCAAAACCTGGAGGGTGGTATTACAGTGTGCGCATAGCCGGCCAGGCAGAGCCACACGGCACGTGCACCTTCTCGATCGAGCGGTACACGCGGTCGCACCACGGGTTATATAGCAGTCGTCTATGTCTAATGGTCTGTTGGTGTCTATCAAACATAAAAAGGTAGCTATATTATGCACATCACCTAACTGAGAAACCAACTTATTCCCTAATAGAAAAGAGAAATTGGAAAATCATATATAGTACTTCACAACATGAGCAATACGTGTTATTTAAAAAGATATAGACATACCATAATCAACCGACAATACAGAGCATGTGAGCTATGCTGTAAGGCATTCCAGACCTCTGTCCATGTTTATTCTTAATTCGAGATAGAGGTAATCCTCACTCACAGTTATAATTCTTTAGCTCTAACTGTGAACCAGAGCCGCGTGGCTGTTGCTACTGCACCTTTATTGCTACACTCTTTAACTCCTTACCAGTACCAGTTCAAGCACTGCTTTTTTCACTGAAGGTCTCCAATTTCGCCGGAGGTGTGCACGGACATCAAGCGATCGTTTCTTTCTTGCCGCTAGTGACTACGGTAGATCATGGAGCTCTTCCATGGTCGACCTGAACAACGCCATTTGCTGCTTACTCAGCATCAGTGATCTGCGCGCATGCGCCAGGCAGGGGCGTTGTCCAATAATGTGCTTGCGAGCGTATTCTACCGGGCGAGTTGGCAGACCTGCAGAGGAACTAGCCTCCAGTACCTTCTGTAAGTAAGTGTGCACATTTCCAACTGGCTATCTTGCTGTTCATTTGCACGAAGAGCAACTTGCCAGAGTCTGCGCGGTGTTAGCCTTGCAGGGCACTCAGTCAAATCGCCTTCATTGTTTGTCCAGGTTGTAGCCTGATTACCGAAGCCTGCCAATGAAACCACAACCATGTGCAATAATCTAATTACATCCTTGTTGAAGACAATACATGGTATCTAGCAGCCCATTAGCTACTACTTACAATTTGTCTATCTACAACATAGCCATGAACATCAGAGTGACTGTAACAATAAATGGCAAAAGCTGTTAAAAACAGTGGAAACAAGTGGAAAAATCATTTCTTCAAAATGAAAGGGGGATATAGGGATGGCTTGAAGCACCAAAAAGGAAGAAACAAGGGGTCATTACACAGCAAAGTTGCACAAAGCTACATGACACCATCCCCATATCTTTGTGTTATATAATATAGTTCACGAGTAAAGTTGACTATGAGACAAAGATATAGGGATGGTGTCATGTAGCTTTGTGCAACTTTGCTGTGTAATGACCCCTTGTTTCTTCCTTTTTGGTGCTTCAAGCCATCCCTATATCCCCCTTTCATTTTGAAGAAATGATTTTTCCACTTGTATAAACAGCTTCCAAAGAAAAAAACTTAGTGGTATTTGTGTGACATAACAACAAGACATAATAGCATTAGTGTACATGGCTGTAAAACCCATTCTCGATTGCCATTAATGTGGAACAAACATAAACAGCTTACGCACTACGTAAGTGTAACACACTTGGAAAGTTTTGCTACACACATATAATAGCTAGTAAGCTACGTACATACAAGACAAAGCGCACACCAGAAAAATGATGATCGAGGAACAGTAGCTTCTACACAGGTGTCAAATGCTCAGCATTATTAGTTCAAAGTTCA